AATTCACTTCAAGATTTCCTATAAACTTTGTATTTCATAGCTATAACCATGTAATGAGGACAATAGATATCAATTTTAATTAAACTGAGTTTTATTAACCAAAATAAATAAACATAGCAGACATTAATAAGATTGAAGAGACCTGGGCCTGCCTGTTGAAAAACCACAGGCTGGGTTCCCACTGGGTACACTTCCTATTGGTAGGCTGAGGCTTTGGGGTATGTTGTGTGTGTGTGTATGTGTGTGTGTGTGGACATGGAGACACTCAGGAACACCATGGAGCAGGTCTCACAGGTAGGTAGATACTTTTGGTGTGTGTGTGTGTGTGTGTGTGTGTGTGTGTGTGTGTGTGTGTGTGTGTGTGTGTGTGTGTGTGTGTGTGTGGACATGGAGACACTCAGGGGAGACGGCTGCTGCTGTTTGTTAATACTTGGCCAGACTTTTTCGCTTTCAATAACCGTTTAATCAAACTCTGTATTTAACAAGTTTTCCAACGTCTTAGTTTTGTCCACACACAACTTTTTTCATTCAACTTTTTCACCCCAGACCTTTTATCTGGACCTGGATCTGCAGGACCTCCTCCTGCCTTCTCATTGCAGTCGCTGTACTCATAATGTGAGTGGTGGAAAAAGTACTCAATTTTCTTACTTGAGTAAAAGTAAAGATAACTTAATAGAAAATGACTCAAGTAAAAGTGAAAGTAACCCAGTAAAATACTACTTGAGTAAAAGTCTAAAAGTATTTGGTTTTAAGTATCAAAAGTAAATGGAATTGCTAAAATGTACTTAAGTATAAAAAGTAAAAGTAAAAGTATAAATCAGACGCAATTGTTAAGCAAGGGCAATTTAAGTATAGGAAAGTATGATACAGCGTCTGTGCCAACCAGTAAATACAGGTAGTAGTGTTAATCCCCCTGCACAGTCCCCGCAGCTGGACAATTTTCTCATGGCTTCTGGAAATAAATGCTGTCGGCATGCTCAACCGGTGTCGCTCATTCTGTTTCAGTCTCCAATATCTAAGCTGCAATAGTCTATGTGTAGGGGGGCTATGGTCAGTCTGTCCTATCTGGTGTAATTCTCCTGTCTTATCTGGTGTCTCTCTCTCTCTCTCGCTCTCTCTCCCCTCCCGGTGGACCTGAGCCCTAGAACCATACCTCAGGACTACCTGGCCTGACGACTCCTGGCTGTCTCCGTCCCCAGTCCACCTGGTTGTGCTGCTGCTCCAGTTTCTGCTGTTCTGCCTGCGGCTATGGAACCCTGACCTGTTCACCGGATGTGCTATCTTCTCCCGGACCTGCTGTTTCCAACCCGCTCTCCCCCTCCATCTCTCTTCCTCTCTCTCTCTCCCTCCCCCTCTTGCTCTCTCTCTCTCGCTCTCTCTCTACCACACCTGCTTTCTCGACCTCTAAATGCTTGGCTTTGAAAAGCCATCTGACATTTACTCCTGAGGTGCTGACCTGTTGCACCCTCTACAACCACTGTGATTATTATTTGACTGCTGGTTATCTATGAACATTTGAACATCTTGAAGATCGTTTTGATAATAGTTTTCTATCTTTATTTCATGTAACAGAGTTGAGTTGTTGAGCTCGACGACCCCAATCTACCAATACAAATCTATGAAATACAGATATAAACGAATGTGATAACTTGTCTTTGCATCATGTTGTTCAGATGAGTTGTATGATGTCACTTCCAGTTGATGATATCGCATCAGGATAAAGGATAAAAAATTTTATGGGGGGGGAGATTGGTTGGCGTAACTGGGTTGAGGGTAGACTAAGGTATGCAACTAAATATTGTGATTTTAATCAATAATCCCACATTTATTTGGAAAAAAATACATTCTCTGCAAAAGAGCACAAATAGATGTTTACATCAATGGCAACATTTATGGTTTATATGCACATTTTATTAGTAATATCCTAAGTACAAATTCAGTGAACCCCTGAAATAGAAACACTGCAGTGCATAGGGTTATCTTTTTTTTGTTGCACATCAACAGTGGGGTCCGGAATTATTGGATCCCTTGATAAAGATGAGCAAAAAATCCTGTATAAAATAAATAATACAAATACTGAGCTATATTGTATGCAATTTGGGGGGGGGGTTGTATTTTATACTAATACAATTGCTCAGAGAGAGATCATGTTCAACATGTAACAAATACATCTAAAAAAGAGATGTTAAGATTATTGGATCCCGTTTTCAGTACTCCAGCACCCTCCCCTTGCGAGGATAGCGACAGTCTTTAAAAAATATACAGTGAGGGAAAAAAGTATTTGATCCCCTACTGATTTTGTACGTTTGCCCACTGACAAAGAAATGATCAGTCTATAATTTTAATGGTAGGTTTATTTGAACAGTGAGAGACAGAATAACAACAAAAAAATCCAGAAAAACGCATGTAAAAAATGTTATCAATTGATTTGCATTTTAATGAGGGAAATAAGTATTTGACCCCCTCTCAATCAGAAAGATTTCTGGCTCCCAGGTGTCTTTTATACAGGTAACGAGCTAAGATTAGGAGCACACTCTTAAAGGGAGTGCTCCTAATCTCAGTTTGTTACCTGTATAAAAGACACCTGTCCACATAAGCAATCAATCAATCAGATTCCAAACTCTCCACCATGGCCAAGACCAAAGAGCTCTCCAAGGATGTCAGGGACAAGATTGTAGACCTACACAAGGCTGGAATGGGCTACAAGACCATCGCCAAGCAGCTTGGTGAGAAGGTGACAACAGTTGGTGCGATTATTCGCAAATGGAAGAAACACAAAAGAACTGTCAATCTCCCTCGGCCTGGGGCTCCATGCAAGATCTCACCTCGTAGAGTTGCAATGATCATGAGAACGGTGAGGAATCAGCCCAGAACTACACGGGAGGATCTTGTCAGTGATCTCAAGGCAGCTAGGACCATAGTCACCAAGAAAACAATTGGTAACACACTACGCCGTGAACGGCTGAAATCCTGCAGCGCCCGCAAGGTCCCCCTGCTCAAGAAAGCACATATACAGGGCCGTCTGAAGTTTGCCAATGAACATCTGAATGATTCAGAGGAGAACTAGGTGAAAGTGTTGTGGTCAGATGAGACCAAAATCGAGCTCTTTGGCATCAACTCAACTCGCCGTGTTTGGAGGAGGAGGAATGCTGCCTATGACCCCAAGAACACCATCTCCACCGTCAAACATGGAGGTGGAAACATTATGCTTTGGGGGTGTTTTTCTGCTAAGGGGACAGGACAACTTCACCGCATCAAACGGGACGATGGACGGGGCCATGTACCGTCAAATCTTGGGTGAGAACCTCCTTCCCTCAGCCAGGGCATTGAAAATGGGTCGTGGATGGGTATTCCAGCATGACAATGACCCAAAACACACGGCCAAGGCAACAAAGGAGTGGCTCAAGAAGAAGCACATTAAGGTCCTGGAGTGGCCTAGCCAGTCTCCAGACCTTAATCCCATAGAAAATCTGTGGAGGGAGCTGAAGGTTCGAGTTGCCATACGTCAGCCTCGAAACCTTAAGGACTTGGAGAAGATCTGCAAAGAGGAGTGGAACAAAATCCCTCCTGAGATGTGTGCAAACCTGGTGGCCAACTACAAGAAACGTCTGACCTCTGTGATTGCCAACAAGGGTTTTGCCAAAGTCATGTTTTGCAGAGGGGTCAAATACTTATTTCCCTCATTAAAATGCAAATCAATTTATAACATTTTTGACATGCGTTTTTCTGGATTTCTTTGTTGTTATTCTGTCTCTCACTGTTCAAATAAACCTACCATTAAAATTATAGACTGATCATGTCTTTGTCAGTGGGAAAACGTAAAAATCAGCAGGGGATCAAATATTTTTTTCCCTCACTATGAGATTGGAGAACACTTTGACCATTCCTCCATACAGAATTTTTCCAGATCCTTGATATCTGTCATCTGCGCTTATGGATTGCCCTCTTCAATTCAACTCACTGGTTTTCCAGTCCAGAGGCTGAGATGACCATTGCAAAAATGTTGATTTCTTTGTGGATGTTGATGTGTGCTTAGGGTTATTGCCTTGCTGGAAGATTAACTTGTGGCCAAGGTTCAGCCTCCTTGCAGAGGCAACCAGGTTTTTGGTCAAGTTCATGATGCCGTTGACCTTAACAAGGACAGGACCAGTGGAAGCAAAATAGCCCGATAAAGATTCACCACCATATTTTACAGTAGGGAGGAGGTATCTTCTGAATATGCATTGTCCTTTTGAAGGCTGAACCCACCATTGGTGTGCGTGACCAAAGAGCTCTATTTTCACGTCATCTGACCACAGAGCTCTTTGCCTACACACACTAATTATGGGTTTGGCCTTCAAAAGAACAATGCATATGCAGAAAATACCTCATATGCATGCATAAGATTTTAGCAAAAGGCTAAGTTTGGTTTCCTCGCAAAGGAGAGGGTACTGGAGTATTGAAAACAAGGGATGCAATTATTTTAACACCTATCTTTGAGATACATTTGTTTAATTACTTGCTAAAATCTTTCTCTAAGCAATTGTATTAGCCTAAAATCACAAATCTCCCCAAAATGAGTAAACAATATCTGTATTTATTTGTACAGTCTTTTTTGCTCATCTTTATCAAGGAATCCAATAATTCTGGACCCCACTAGATACCTTCATAGTTCATAAGTTTTTATTGAGAAATGTACACAGCGATATTCCAAAAGTTACAAATCCAGTCATATTGAAAAAAGGGACCTGATCAAAAATTGTACAACTCAATAATGCATCAGATTAATTAGTACAAACAGTTGCTACTACAATACTACCACACAATAAATTAACACTAACTAGCATGACAGCAATGGACTATGGAGCCACGTGGGCGGACTGATACAGTCAGTGCTAAACAACCTCTCCCGGAGAGTCAGAAAGTATTGCCACAGCGATTGTCAATCATGGTTGTCATGGCGATGGCCATTGCCACAACAGTTTGTCACGTGACAGGCAGGGTCAGGTTGGGGTGAAAGGTCAGTTTTTGGTAGCCTTGCGTAGGCAGGTGAAGAAGGGGTGTCTGAGAGCCTGGTCCAGGGAGAGGCGTTCAGCCGGGTCATACTCCAGCATCTTCTGGATTAAGTCAAATAGCTGCTCGTGGTCAGCACTCTGGGCAGTCATGTATTGCTGGGGAGGAGACAGTAGAGGAGATTATCAGATTCATCGATATCAGTCACCACAGGACACACCAACACTGTGATTCAGATGGCTTTATATCATTCGCAATTCAAAATAGATTGGCCCATATTGCGAGAGGCCCTCCTTACCATGAGCGGTTTGCAGTGTTTCCTCACATATCTGGCAGAAGAGCTGTGTGCGTCCCAGTCCAGCTTGTAACGGTGGACGTACCGACGCTTCCTGGTTTTCTGCAGGAGGTGTACAGGTATGGGGCCAAGGACCCTCTCCATCATAGCCAGGTGTTCTTTACTGTCATGGGTCTGGAGGAGAGAAGAGAGACATGGAGTGGAGTCTACATCCAGGACACACTGATCTACCCATGCATAGAAAGAAGCCTGAACACCTTAAGATGAATGCATCATTTAGAAGGCATTCTAGTATGATGCTGTTGATGTGATAGCAGATAGTCACCCACCTGGAAGAGAGTTGATCCCAGGTAGTACTCTATGAGGATACAGCCCAGACTCCACACGTCACAGGCATGGTCCCATCCCAAACCTACACAGAGAGAGAAAAGCATTACATCAGTAACAGAGAAACGAAGGATGCAAGAACCCCATGTGTCCTGGTCAAAAGAAGTCCAATATATAGGGAATAGCGTGCCATTTGGGAGACAGCTCAAGTCTGTAAGCGCCTTTATAACATACCATCAGTAATTGCCTGGACTCTTGATTGGTTGATAGGAGTGTAAATATGTATTGCACTTTCACTGTAAATATGTAGCCCATTGCACTTTTCATATGAATTTATTGTGTATTATTCTGTATTTTAATGAACTATGTACTTTGTCCTTTTAAGCACACGACCAAATGACTTGCCACCTGGTGGGATAATAAAGTTGATCTAATCAGGACTTCGTGTTGTGGCATAGTTGGTATCTTACCCAGAATGACCTCTGGAGCGCGGTAGTGGCGTGTGGACACTACGGAGGTATGGTGGTCATGTTCATACGTGGCGTTGCCAAAATCAACCACCACCACATCTGGGTTCTTCAACGTCCTCTTGTCACGCCTCTGTAGGACAGAGATTAGTCATGACAAATATGAATTGCAGTTAGTCAGACAGTACACAAAGTCATGTAAGGCTTGACAACCAAATCAGTGAACTTCACAGGTAATTTAAGGTGAGTCCGTGTTTTGTCAATAGGAGACCAGGTAGATAAGACTCGTACCATTTTGGCGTTGTACTCGATGTCGTACTTCGAGTCCACAAACAGAATGTTCTCCGGCTTCAGGTCAGTGTGTGTCAGCTTGTTCTTATGTAGGACTAAAACACAATCAACACAGGCAGGAAAGTAGACAACACTTGTTACTATTACACTATACAATTGAATAGACTCGTTTTAGGGATGTGCATCTTTTCCTTTCAAGACAATTCGATAAGCATCCAGATAAATGTAGTCTGTGTTTTTTGCCCTCCCACTTTGGTTCTGAATTCACCAACACCCACTAATGAACTTGTCATTTTTGCAGATTAAGTGTTTGAGCTAGTAATGTATCAATATTTATCATTTACAAATGAGCTATGACAAAGCCAATGAATACACAGCACAACTTTGGATTTCACCCCATCTCAAAATCAAATATTTAAATGCTGATGGTGAACCTGAACAACATAAAATATATTTGATTTTAGCCAGATGAGTTGTCTCCGATAGTTTACTTTTATTCCGGTAAAACAATTTAACAGTTGTCGCTCAACTACTAATAAAGCCTAATATCACGCAAGCCATTTAAGCATTTGAATGCTGAAGGTGCCGCGCAGATGTGCAAGATCAGGAAAAGGCCGCCTACCTCGCGTTGGTCAGTGCGCGAAGCTGGGCACAGTGCGCAGTTTGACTAGGCTACTGATATTGCCTGGGGTTGTTTGGCATGCAAAATGACTTGTAGATCAATGACTGTCAACACAGTCACATGCAGTTCGACAATGAAGGAGAGGACTCATCATGTCACAAAAGATAAGGTATTTTCGGAAGGTAAAAAAAATGTAATATGAGCAACAACAACAAAAAAAAATTGGGAACAGGTGATAAAGGTTTTAACCAATTTTCTGACTGATGAATGCTACATTTGGATCAGTTTGGGGTCCGCGGACCAATGCACTTGTATCTTAAACAATCTCTGTAGTCACCACTTACCTGCCAGCTTATCATTTACAATATCTGCCTCCCAAATGTTACCATATTCCCTAAGAAATGCACTTCATAGTAGTGCACTGGATAGAGAAAAATAGGGTGCCATTTGGGACACACACAATAACATTTTAGTTGTGACATTTAGCAGTGCTCTTATCCAGAGTGGGTGGTGGTTACTACCACAGAGATCCTATTAAATTACTATTCCAATATGTTCTAATATGCAATTTTATGGTAACTACTCACATCGTACAGCTCTGATGATCTGGTAGGCCATGATTCTGATGTGTTCTACAGGGAACGGATGGAAGTTGTTCTGCTTAAGGAAGTCATAGGTACTGAGCCCCAGCAGCTCAAACGATATACACACGTGACCATGGTGGTCGAACCAGTCCAGCATCCTCACACATGCACTGAGATGGAGAGGGGGAGGAGAGAGTGGGGAAGGATAGAGGGAGAAAAAAAAAAAAAAAGAGGGACTTATATTTAAAATTTGTCATTTAGCAGACAATATTATTCAGTGACTTACAGATAGTGCATTCATCTTAAGGTAGCTAGCTAGGCAAGAGCAACAATGATGTCTGATATTGATATTTGATGACATACTGATATTTGATAATTAATGTGTGCATGTGTGACTGCTTCTCATCCTCGTAATGCAGGGCCAACGTGATTTCTGCTAATGTATGGGGCTTACTATCTCCGGTCACAGTCCAGAGAGTTCATCTGCTCCAGCACCTCCACCTCTGCCATTGCCGCCTCGCGGTAGCGGTCAATGTTTTTAATGATCTTCAGTGCCATGCGAGCACCACTTCTGGAATCACAGACAACACACAAATATCCAACAGTTAAGTCTAGAGAAGAGAGAGACTTTCAAATGAGAAAGAAAGTGAGAAACGGAGAGATTGAGTTTGTGAGAGCATACTGTACACATTAAAGCGGGTCATTAATCTCTGCTCGAGGAAGGTGCTCAAAAGTTAACAGAGAGAGAGAAGGGCGGGGGGAGAAAGAGAAGCATAGTCACCATGATATCCAGACGTTTCCAGTGAGGGACTTACTTAGAGTGATCGATGCATTCCACGACTTTCCCAAAGGCTCCTTCTCCTAGAGTGGACACAATCTCATCTACAGGGAATAAAGAGCACTAGTTGGAACCAGAGGAGTGACGACTGGCATCCACTACCATCACACCTGATATGCCACAAAATGGCTGCCGCTAGCACTGATTTGGCCTAAGCTGCTTTGTTTGATATGGATTTAGCATTATACTGTCTGCAACTAGAACAGAACAGGGCTCCAAGCCAACAGCACATAATACACAGTACACACATCACACTAATAATGATGTTATGTAGCAAGGTGTAATACTAATCAACATTTAACAATACATTGATACACCCTACCCGCCCAAATACAATACGTGTCTACAATAGAATGGGTATTTTGCAACAGCTCACAATATCAAAACCAAACAGCAACAACAAAAGAGATATAGATAGTTGACAGAGAGAGAAAAAAAGGGGAATATATTCTATACATCTCGCTCTCAGCATGTCTCCCCTGTGATAGATCAGGTGACCCTCGTCATCATCCTCAACACTCCTGGATCTTTTCCTGCTCCTGCGATGATGGCTCCTCTGTTGTCCCATCACGACCATCACCACCATCATCAACCATCAACCACCATCATCGACCCAGAGAACATCAGGCCAGGCCACCACAACCGGACGGAACGCGCCATTCATTCATTCAGCGGGCGGAGGGGGGAATCGGACGTGGGGGAGAGATTCGGATGGATCGGCCCATTCAGAGTGGGTGGGTAGTAGCGAACCAGGCAGCGCCAGCGGACCACAGCGGGAGCAGCACATTCAAATTCAGCCCCACCAGAGAAAGGCATAGGGGGCGTCACCACATAGTGGGTGTTACAGAAGAGAAACACGGCAACAACAAGAATGTTCATGTGAGAGACTTTCTCAAAGTAAATGGTACAAAAAAAATGATAAGCTATCACAGTGTAGAATAGGCTAATATGCATTTGTCTCCTTCAAGTTACAGTTCTTGGTTATCTTTTGACTGTGAATGATACATATAAAGCTTCCCTTTACTATTCTTATTGAAGCCTCGTAAATGTGTTTGCTCCTAGTCTGCTAAAGTTATGCCTAGATGATCTTCAGTGGATTTTGGTACTAACATAGGATCCATAAGTATTTTTTACTGTGGGTGTGGTACATAGGGCGAGAGATAGACACACAGAACGCTAACACCACTAATAACCATATTGGGAAGGAGAAGGAGAAAGAGAGAGTAGGTTCTCATACCGAGTAAGAGGAGCGTCGGTGAGAAGGGCTGCGTCTCCGCCCTCGGCGGCTACTGCGTCTGCTGCGGCCGCTCTTGCCACTCCGACCAGATGACTTGCTGTAGTGGTGCCACTCCTTGTCCCTCTCGCGGTCTCCGTCTCTATCCCTGGAGGCGCCCCTGCTGTCCTCGTCGTAGCCCATCTCCAGGCTGGCTACTCTGGCCCCCTTGTCCTTAGACTCTAGCCTCTGCTGGTTCAGGCTGCGGGTCTCCAGGTAATGCCTGAAAGGGAGAAACAGCTTAACGACTGACTCCTCCTTCCTACTTAAGTCACTGCTTGGTTCCAATGGCCGGGATCTACGCTTCACCAACACCCTATCCCAAGGGGCTTTATATATATATTTTTTAAGATTAGTAACACGCTGATTTACGACTACAGGGTGCTACGTCGTTATTCCAGCGTTCTTGGTGTGAAAGTCTGGCATTCAAGCATATTGTAGATTAATAGTTTTTAACAGATCATGACATGTAGTGCGGCAGATAGCCTAGCGGTTAGTAACCGAAAGGTTGTTAGTTCGATTCCCAGAGTCGACAAGGTGAAAAATTAGTTATTCTGCCCTTGAGCAAGGCAGTTAACCCCCCACAACAACAGCTCCCCGGGCGTCCAACTTGGCAGCCCCCCACACATCTCCGATTTAGGATTGGGTTAAAAGCGGAAGTCAAGTTTCGGTTGGACCTTGTGTGCAATTGACGATAAACATAAATGTAATCCTTTAATTTTAAACATTTCACATTTATCTATCATAAATATGAGCAGCCAAAGTATTCAGACCCCTTGACTTTTTCCACATTTTGTTACAGCCTCTCTAAAATTGATTAAATTATTATTTTTCCTCAATCTACACACAATACCCCATAATGACGAAGCGAAAACAGGTTTAGAAATGTTTGCTAATAAAACAGAAATACCTTATTTACATAAGTATTCAGACCCTTTCCACCTGTGGTAAATTCAATTGATTGGACATGATTTGGAAAGGCACACATCTGTCTATACAAGGTCCCACAGTTGACAGTGCATGTCAGAGCAAAAACCAAGCCATGAGGTCGAAGGAATTGTCCATAGAGCTCCGAGACAGGATTGTGTCAAGGCACAGATCTGGGGAAGGGTACCAAACTTATATAAATCAGTTTTTTATTATTATAAATTTGCTAAAATTGATAAAAACCTGTTTTTGCTTTGTCATTATGGGGTATTGTGTGTAGATTGATAGATAAGGCTGTAACGTAACAAAATGTGGAAAAAGTCAAGGGGTCTGAATACTTCCCGAATGCAGCATCCCGCTCTCCCCCTCTACCTCTCTGGCACACTTGAAAGCACAGGTGTCCACTACGACAGTTATTGATGTGGCTTAGTGAGGAATCCGTGAAGTCCTTACAGCAGAGGCTATGAGGAATGAGCCACGATGGCACCCTGGTGGTGTCAGGTCTCTTCCAGGAAAAGGTTGGCGTCGCTGGGGGACTTATTATTAGAGCTGCCCTGCCCTTCCCTCCTGCCCTGGAAACTTCCACCATAAACCTCCATCTCTCACATAGCATACAGCTCAATCAGAGACGGACATAGGAACTGAACAGGTTTTACCTTCCAGCAATAAAACAGACAGTGATATAGTGTCCAATGACTTCCCATAAGAATAGTTAGAACTTCGAAAAATGTATAGAACAGGGTTCATACACATTTTGACAAATAGAATTCCATGACTTTTAAAGGGATATTTCAGGATTTTGGCAATGATGCCCTTTATCTACTTCCAAGTCAGATACCATTTTAATGCTGTTAAAAAATATATATATTCACTATTACATATGTCACCAGTAGTAAATCAATGTGTTCATATGGTAGGGGCTGGTGATCATGAAAAGATAAACAACGTGCTCGACTCCACCTTATATAAACCTATATCGGGTGCTGGATCCTCATATAAATCCAAAGAACAGAGAATAGGACAGCACTCTGGTAAATAAACGTAAACATTGACATTTTCATTGCCACTGGTGATCTCGCAATAGTTTACTTTTAGATTTGTATCATTTTAACTCCGATTTTTATGATTAACCACGTGACAATGACTGAGAATGTCTGTGTCCCCGCAAATTGACTGTACCGGTACCCCCTGTATATAGCCTCGCTACTGTTATTTTCCACGAAAATTGACATCTGAAACGCTCATAACTGGCACGCAGAATGGTAGAAATTGTAGGATAAACTGTAAGCTTCCCCAAACTTGAAACTCAAGCGCACCTATGAAGTCATTACTTTTCTGATTTGATCATTTTCCAAAACGTTTCCAGGCCTGTAAAACATCATTTAAAAATTCCATGACTTTTCCAGGATTGTACGAACCCTGATAGAATTGTGACCACCTCTGTCAAGGCCATGGAAAAGAGCAGATTTTTCTCTGGAAATAAGATTTCACTTATTATTTATTAGATGATAGCTTGTCCTCACCACATTAATATGTTGCTGTGAAAACATTTGACATGTGTAAAATTGCTGGGCCCTACCTACCTAACTGAAAAGCCAGAATAGATTCCGACCCTACGCTTGCTTACAGCTGCACTGGGGTCAGACAAACTTCCTGTTTAGAGTAAGAAAGCCGGCGCGAGATATGGCCAGGAAAACGTACCTCAAGCCAGGGATGAGAAATGCGTTACACTGAGAACATTGAACAACTGCGAGTTTATTAGCAGTCGTTCAATCTTCTTGGTGTAACAGTTGGGATAATGGGTCAATTCGGTGTACAACCATTTTTTCATCCCTGGTTTGAGGTAAGTTTCCCGAGCCACATCGCTTGTCTCAATGTAAACATGATTGCCTTCTGACCCCAGTGCAGGCCTGTTTAAACAAGCATAGTGATAGGGTCGGTATCTTCTAGCATGTAAAAAGGAGAGATCTAGTTGGGGGTTGCTTGTGGATAGGTGGAGCATCTGATAGTTATGTTGGCCACTACAGTGAATGGGATGACAGATGGGGTCAATGAGGTCAGCATATTTACCCTTCATTTGTTTTGAGGTGGTGAAGTCTTCGAGATTTGTTCTCCCTTTCACTGCTGTGCGAATCATCTCGCTTCTGTCGCTTTCGGCTCTCCACTCTCTCCTCCCAACTGAACTCATTGAGCCAAACACCAGGGGAACGCATTCGCTTTGACTGCCGCATCTGCCACACAAGTAATGAATGTTCACATTAGATACATAGCTAGCTAACGTTAAAGCTAGCACCATGGCTAGCTGCCAACAAACGTTGAAAATAATTCAAATCTACATATAGCTAACGTTTCATTAGCTAGCAAGCTAGATAATAGTCTACATGTCATGAAGTGAATTCAACCATGCAATACGAGTCCTGTGAAATAGTTTAGTTACTTTGTAAGCATTAGCTAGGTAGCTAGATAAACATGGTCAATCTATTTTCTTTGCTGCCAGTGACTGGCGACGTCTTTGTTCTATATTGCTAATTAGCTAACGTCGTTAGATTGCTAACTAACTAATAACAATTGTCCAAGTGAAACGTAACGTTAGCTGGCTAGACTTCTTCAGATAACGTCAGCAACATCTGACAAACGCTAGAGTCAACACCAACAAAAACAACTATTTTCAACATTCATATTTTGGGGGAAAAAGCAATAGGCATAGCCAGTTAACGCTTTTTGTTAGCTAGCTTCCTGGTTCGTCGACGAAACGTGGAGGCTAGTTAACGGTTTAACATTGAACGGATTGTATATGGTTTCCGTTCTTCTATTACACATTAAATAATCTGTCCTTACCGTATCTAACGATTGATGTATCCCAAAATACGAATTAATAGGTAAGAACTGTTTTTTCAGTAGCTACTTTCGTACACCGCACAAACTAATCTGCCTACAAAATGGCGAACTCTGCTGCTGGAACTTTCCATACGTAACTAAATAAATGACGTCAGGTGCTGAACTACGCCTACTGTTGTGAATTATGGAGATTTTAGTTTGGAGTGGAGGCTGGAGTTTTGCTGGAAACAGCTTCACGGAAGATGGCGGAAGCAGATGATGAAGTGGAATCTGAATGAAATGGCGGTAGAATCAAGGAAATTTGAGTATTGTTCAAAATAATGGAAAACGGAGCAAAGTAGGGTACAGTGATGAGAATGACATTTCGTATATAGTAGGAGTATGGTTTGTTAATAAGGAGCAGCTGAGCAGAGTATCAATCTTGAAGAAACCATTTGAGTTATCCAAACTGGTAGAGAGAGTGCTGGGAAAGTGAAGGATGTGAGGATCAGGAGAGGCGGGTTTGTTTAGATTTTTTGTGATTCTGCGGAAAAGAAGGAACATGCGTTGTTTCTTAATCGATTTGATAAGTTTGAAGTGTTGTGTGTTTTTTTGTGTCATTTAGCAGACGCTCTTATCCAGAGCGATTTACAGGAGCATTTATATCTAATATCTGGCGTTTCGTGGGAAGTTGATTTGGAAGAGATTCAAAATATTCCTGGAGTGATTTGAAGCACATCGGAATAATCTAGTGGTGAATGGGGAAAAAGTGATTTTTTTTTAAATATTTTTTTTATGGAGTCTCTCCCTAATGAAGTGCGGTTAGGGTATATTAACTACAGAGTTAGAGCATTTATCCCAAGAACAATGCAGTGTGAACATTGTAAAGCTTTTGGTCATGTAGAAAGTGTTTGCAGAAGGGAGAAGCCGAGATGTACAAGATGTGGAAAAGATCATAGTATGTGTTATAAAAGTGAGGGAAATGTGACATGTTGTAATTGCGGTGGGAATCATGAAGTCAAGTCTTCTGAATGCCCCACAAGACAAAAGAAAATGAGGTGGCCAAAGTCAGGGTTGTACAGAGCATTTCATATACAGAAGCTGTGAAAAGGGTTGAGGGTTTGACTGTTGCGCCAGAAGAGTCCATGGTATTGGATAGGCCTTCACTGCAGTCTGCAGGGGTTGTCTTACACCAAGAGGATCCTGACATTTTAAAGGTTCAAAAGATGGACTTTGTGGCCTTTATCGCAATGGTGATAAATGGCACTGCCAAGGTGGAGAAAAGATCTAGGAAGATTGAAATCATTGTGATTGCGGCGGAGTGATTCCTTGGGCTGAAAGATTTCACAGCAAAGGAGTTACATGGAATATGAGCAAAAGCCGTACATTTACATTACATTTTAGTCATTTAGCAGACGCTCTTATCCAGAGCGACTTACAGGAGCAATTAGGGTTAAGTGCCTTGCTCAAGGGCACATTAACGTCATTTAGCAGACGCTCTTAGCCAGAGCGACTCACAAATTGGTGCGTTCACCCTATAGCCAGTGGGATAACCACTTTACAATTGGGGGGGGGGGGGGGGGGGGTAGAAGGATTCCTTTATCCTATCCCAGGTATTCCTTAAAGAGGTGGGGTTTCAAATGTCTCCGGAAGGTGGTGAGTGACTCCGCTGTCCTGGCGTCGTGAGGGAGCTTGTTCCACCATTGGGGTGCCAGAGCAGCGAACAGTTTTGACTGGGCTGAGCGGGAACTATGCTTCCGCAGAGGAAGGGGAGCCAGCAGGCCAGAGGTGGATGAGCGCAATGCCCTCGTTTGGGTGTAGGGACTGATCAGAGCCTGAAGGTACAGAGGTGCCGTTCCCCTCACTGCTCCATAGGCAAGCACCATGGTCTTGTAGCGGATGCGAGCTTCAACTGGAAGCCAGTGGAGTGTGCGGAGGAGGGGGGTGACGTGAGAGAACTTGGGAAGGTTGAACACCAGACGGGCTGCGGCATTCTGGATGAGTTGTAGGGGTTTAATGGCACAGGCAGGGAGGCCAGCCAACAGCGAGTTGCAGTAGTCCAGACGGGAGATGACAAGTGCCTGGATTAGGACCTGTGCCGCTTCCTGTGTAAGGCAGGGTCGTACTCTCCGAATGTTGTAGAGCATGAACCTGCAGGAGCGGGTCACCGCCTTGATGTTGGCGGAGAACGACAGGGTGTTGTCCAGGGTCACGCCTAGGCTCTTCGCACTCTGGGAGGAGGACACAGCGGAGTTGTCAACCGTGATGGCGAGATCATGGAACGGGCAGTCCTTCCCCGGGAGGAAGAGCAGCTCCGTCTTGCCAGGGTTCAGCTTGAGGTGGTGATCCGTCATCCATACTGATATGTCTGCCAGACATGCAGAGATGCGATTCGCCACCTGGTTATCAGAAGGGGGAAAGGAGAAGATTAGTTGTGTATCGTCAGCGTAGCAATGATAGGAGAGACCATGTGAGGATATGACAGAGCCAAGTGACTTGGTGTATAGGGAGAAAAGGAGAGGGCCTAGAACTGAGCCTTGGGGGACACCAGTGGTGAGAGCACGTGGTGCGGAGACAGCTTCTCGCCACGCCACTTGGTAGGAGCGACCGGTCAGGTAGGACGCAATCCAGGAGTGAGCCGCGCCGGAGATGCCCAGCTCGGAGAGGGTGGAGAGGAGGATCTGATGGTTCACAGTATCAAAGGCAGCAGACAGGTCTAGAAGGACAAGAGCAGAGGAGAGAGAGTTAGCTTTAGCAGTGCGGAGAGTCTCCGTGACACAGAGAAGAGCAGTCTCAGTTGAATGACCAGTCCTGAAACCTGATTGGTTTGGATCAAGAAGGTCATTCTGAGAGAGATAGCAAGAGAGTTGGCTAAAGACGGCACGCTCAATAGTTTTGGAAAGAAAAGAAAGAAGGGATACTGGTCTGTAGTTGTTGACATCAGTGGGGTCGAGTGTTGGTTTTTTGAGAAGGGGAGCAACTCTCGCTCTCTTGAAGACGGAAGGGACATGGCCAGCGGTCAAGGATGAGTTGATCAGCGAGGTGAGGTAGGGGAGAAGGTCACCGGAGATGGTCTGGAGAAGGGAGGAGGGGATGGGGTCAAGCGGGCAGGTTGTTGGGCGGCCTGCAGTCACAAGTCGCAGGATTTTATCTGGAGAGAGAGGGGAGAAAGAAGTCAAAGCATAGGGTAGGGCAGTGTGAGCAGGACCAGCAGTGTCATTAGACTTAACAAACGAGGATCGGATGTCGTCAACCTTCTTTTCAAAGTGGTTGACGAAGTCATCCACAGAGAGAGAGGAGGGGGGGGGGGGGGGGGGGGGGGAGGATTCAGGAGGGAGGAAAATGTGGCAAAGAGCTTCCTAGGGTTAGAGGCAGATGCTTGGAATTTAGAGTGGTAGAAGGTGGCCTTAGCAGCAGAAACAGATGAAGAAAATGTAGAGAGGAGGGAGTGAAAAGATGCCAGGTCGGCAGGGAGTTTAGTTTTCTTCCATTTCCGCTCCGCTGCCCGGAGCTCTGTTCTGTGAGCTCGCAGTGAGTCATCAAGCCACGGAGCTGGAGGGGAGGACCGAGCCGGCCGGGAGGATAGGGGACACAGAGAGTCAAAGGATGCAGAAAGGGAGGAGAGGAGGGTTGAGGAGGCAGAATCAGGAGATTGGAGGGAGAAGGATTGAGCAGAGGGAAGAGATGATAGGATGGAAGAGGAGAGAGTAGTGGGAGAGAGAGAGCGAAGGTTGCGGCGGCGCATTACCATCTGTGTAGGGGCAGAGTGAGTAGTGTGGGAGGAGAGCGAGAGAGAAAAGGAAACAAAGTAGTGGTCGGAGACATGGAGGGGAGTTGCAGTGAGATTAGTAGAGGAGCAGCATCTAGTGAAGATGAGGTCAAGCGTATTGCCTGCCTTGTGAGTAGGGGGGGACGGTGAGAGGGTGAGGTCAAAAGAGGAGAGGAGTGGAAAGAAGGAGGCAGAGAGAAATGAGTCAAATGTGGACATAGGGAGGTTGAAATCCCCCAAAACTGTGAGGGGTGAGCCATCCTCAGGAAAGGAACTTATCAAGGCGTCAAGCTCATTGATGAACTCTCCAAGGGAACCTGGAGGGCGATAGATGACAAGGATATTAAGCTTAAATGGGCTAGTGACTGTGACAGCATGGAATTCAAATGAGGAGATAGACAGATGGGTTAGGGGAAAAATTGAGAATGTCCACTTGGGAGAGATGAGGATTCCTGTACCACCACCCCTCTGACCAGATGCTCTCGGGGTATGCGAGAACACATGGTCAGACGAGGAGAGAGCAGTAGGAGTAGCAGTGTTTTCAGTGGTGATCCATGTTTCCGTCAGCGCCAGGAAGTCGAGGGACTGGAGGTTGGCATAGGCTGGGATGAAGTCAGCTTTGTTGGCAGCAGAACGGCAGTTCCA